AAGACCTGCAGCAGTAAAAAAACAACTCCAATAGCCCTGGTAGTATAATTTCAGTCTGGTCTGATTAGGGTCCCAGGTCTGACCCCTGAGGACCTCCAAGGCTGGCTGTGAGCCAGGACTTGTCACCAACATTAGCTGCCGACCTCAGTAATGCTTTTGTATCTGAATGGGAGCAAATCCCTGCAGCAGGTTCAAAAGGTCCTCGTCGAAGACTGAGACCAGAAGCCTGAAGCCTGTTAGAGCAGCAGAAACACTGTCTGTTGTCCTCATATATTTGGCCATAGTTTGCAAATATTAACTCAGCTGTCATACAATCTTTTCTTCTCTTTCAGGAACAGCACAACAATAACAGCTGTTTCATTTCCTATCATTTACAGGAAATGGCCACAAAATTGAAAACACCAAATATCTCTGATTGATAATCCAGAAAACTTGAAAACACGAAGTCATCTTCCAGCGTTTATCTCACTGAAGACATCATGTAGTGGGAAAATGCTGCTCTGGAAAACACTGACATTCCTTACATCTCCTGTCAGGGTCCTCAGAGCTGCTTGAGTCTCACAGTCACACAACTCAGTTCCTGATGTGGACAGGGGGTAAAGGTGTTTTCTTTGATTAGGCTGTTTACTTCGTATGCTACAACTCCTCCTTTTATTCTTGGCTCGGAGCCAAAGATGGTACTTGTGTCAAAAGTGATGTATGAACTAAAGGTGTCTGTAAAAGTTTAGGTGTGTGCTTGTATAAAACACACCACAAGAAGACTGATACACACTTTCAGCTGAGAATGGTGGGTCTTGCAGGTCTGGTCTGTGGGAGCAAACTTCTGTTCTGGCTGCCACTCAATCATGCAGTTCTTCCTCCGTGAGAATTTGTGAATCCTAGGATGGCGACGGATAGGCCTGCCTTACTCTGCCTCTGATTGGCTTACCCTGACATTCTTACCATAAACTTAACCAATCTCACCCCTCTTGCCTCAGCCTAACCAATTCAACCAACACCCTATATCATCTTGTTGTCATCAACAGATAAAAAGCCAAAAAAATCATGTTTGATTTTGTATTTTATTTATTTTTATTTCAGAGTCATGATACTGATGAATATTTAAAGGGCCAGTGTGTAAAATGGGTTGAAAACAGTGACATCAGTGGTCAAATTCTAGATTGCAGGGCTCACTCGCTCACCCCTCCCGTCGGGTAAATGACGGTGGCCTCGTAGGGACAAAAAGCCTTGCGCA